TTCAGGGATACGGGAGCCATAGAGGTACAAAGGATGATCGGAGATGACAGAGCGTCTAGTGAAAGTAATTCGTTGGGTTTTAGTGCTGGAAAATTTAAACCCATGTGTGGTGGCCCAATTCGAAACACGGTCGACTGCATGCTGGAGAGAAACTGTAATGAGGTGACAGTCAGCGCCTGCACAGGCAATAGTGAAGTCATCAACTTAGAGTGATGACCAAATATTTGATGGAAGACTAGAGGCCAAATCATTAATAGCAAGGAGAAAAAGTGTTGTGCTCAGAACACATCCCTGGGGGACACCTTCAGCTTGGATAAAGTCCGTGGAGAGCACATTATTAACCCGAACACGGAAATGCCTGTCAGTTAAAAAGTTCTTAAGGAAGGATGGTAGATTGCCTCGAAGGCCTAAGGAGTGGGCTTGGGCTAAAATATTATACCTCCAAGTTGTGTCATATGCCTTCTCAAGGTCAAAAAATATGGCAATAACTGAGTGGTTATTCGCAAAGGCATTACGAACATACGTATCCAAGCGTAGTAAGGGGTCTATGGTAGAACGTCCCTTACGAAAGCCATATTGACGAGTGAAGAGACTGTTGTGTGTCTCTAAATACCACACTAAACGTTTATTTACTAGGCGTTCCATCACTTTGCAAACTGCACTGGTATGAGCAATGGGACGAAAGTGGGAGGCTTCATGTCCTGTAGTGCCTGGTTTGCGGAAAGGGAGAACAATGGCGGATTTCCACAGCTGTGGAAGAACTCCTTGTGACCAAATAAGATTGTAAAGGCGTAATAGGACTGCAAGGGCTGACTGATGTAAATGTTGTAGCATACGAATATGAATGTCGTCGGGCCCAGCTGCTGATGGTCGGCAAGCTGAGAGTGTTGCCTCCAGTTCTTGAAGTGTAAAAGGCACATTATACTGTTGTTCTCTGAGAGAAGAAAAGTCCAAGGGTGCTAACTCTCTGGCAGACTTTGAGGAAAGAAATGAGGGGCATAGATGGAGTCCCTGAGAAATATGGACCAGATGATTGCCAATTTCATTGGCAACATCTAGTGGGTTTGCTATATCAACACCGGCAACCCGCAGAACAGGAGCTGGGTCAGGAGAATATTTACCACTCAGTTTCGTATTTTTTTCCAGACTGCACTCATAAAGGAAGCAGAGGTGATGGTGGAGACATGAGACATAAACTCGCCAGCAAGTGCGTTTAGCATCATGGATGACACGGCGAGCGATCGCACGCTTCTGCTTAAAATCAAGAAGTCTCTCCGTGGTTCTATTGTACCGGTATCTGCCCCATGCAGCGCGTTTCAAACATACTGCACGAGCACAAGCAGGAGACCACCAAGGCACGCATTTCTGAGAATGCCTGCCAAAAGTTTGGGGTATACAATTAGAAGCTGTGGTTAAAACGGAGGACGAGAAGAGGTGTAAAAGCTCATCGATGGAGGACGAAGAAAGAACCTCTCTAAAAACAGTTAGGTGTGAGTAAAGGTTCCAATTTGCCTGATCAAATTGCTAGCGTGGGATGCGAAGAGGTGGTGAATATGAAGGGGAAGTAAGAATGATTGGGAAATGATCACTGTCACGTAAGTCCGGGAGAACAGACCAAGTGAAGTCTAATGCGGCGGAGGAAGAGCAGACTGAGAGATCGATGCAAGAGAGTGTGAGAGTCCGAGGATCAAAATGAGTGTGAGTACCTGTATTTAAAACATGGAGGGGGTGGGTGGCAAGAAAAGCCTCTAACTGAATGCCACGGGAATCACAGTGAGACCCCCCCCAGAGGAAATGGTGGGCATTAAAATCGCCAAGTAACAGAATCGGTGGCGGTAATGACGAAACAAGAAAGGCAATATCCAGAATAGATAATGCCCGAGGAGAGAGATATAAAGAACAGAGCGTATAACACCTATGCAAGTGGATACGGGCTGCTGTGTAATGCAGCGAAGTACGAACAAATAGCTGATGGTACGAAATATCAGTGCGTAGAAGAAGGGCACTTTCATTAAAGGTCCCATCAGGAAAAGGATCTGAAGAATACAATAAATTATAGCCTGAGATGGGAGAGATAACAGCAGAGTGTAAATTTGGTTCCTGTAAGCAAACACCAACAGGGGAAAACTGGGAGAGTAACATCTGAAGCTCACCCCGATTACCCGAGGCCGCGTATATTCCACTGTAAATAGGCCACGATTGGCAATGATAAAGATACCTGAAATCCGCAGGTAAGGGTTCCTACGGACTAGAGGGGTTAGAAAAGTCCACATGCGGAGGCAGTGGAAAACGTTCAAGCAGCGAAGGAATGGTGCGCTGTGAAGAAAGGAGTTGCGCAGATGGAGCAGAGGAGAGAGAAGGAACAGAGGGTGGATCAGTGTCCATTGATGGTTTGGTCTCTGCAATATATTCAGAGATTGCTTCAAGTGTTTCGGAATTCAGAGATGTCGTATGGGAGACAATATTGTAAATGGTAGGGGGAGGATGAATAAAGATTGGAACTGTAATGGACTGTACCAGGGTAGGGGAGGGCGAAAGGGTGGAGGGAACTGGAGAAGCGTGGAAGGGGACAGAAGAGGCAGAAACCTGGGAGGTGGCCGAAGAGGAAGAAACTTGGGAGGGAACAGGGGAGGAAGGTACAGTACGAGGAGGGTGAACCTCTACACTTGTAACAGAGCCAGTGAGAGGGGAAGAACCAGGTACAGAGACAAGGAAGGTAAAATGAGGAGGTGGAAGATGGGTAGGAGGTGTTAACAGACCTTTTTTTTGCTTTTGAGAAGTAGAGGGACGATTAGGAGGAGGTGTCATACGAGATCTCGTCGCTACTGAGGCTTGTGAGGGAGAACACGAAGAAGCGAGATCAGACTGAGGCGTTAAGTAGGGACGTCTGAGCCTAGGACAGCAAAAGCATTAGATACAGGAGTGACTATGGGAGAGGTAACCACAGAGGTGGTTGCAGAAGATGGGATCCCAGAAGTGGGGGGATGTTTTGAAACACGGGAATAAGAAACAAGAGGTAGTCTCCCTTGGAGGCGGAGATGAGAAACTGCCATGGCATAAGGGAGACCTTCTGCCTCTTTGAGGTAACGATTTTCCCGCTCGTTTAAGTAGACTTGACAACGGTGAGAGTACAAAGGGTGAGCCTCATGACAATTAAGGCAAGAGGGAGGTCGATTGCAAGACATATTAGAATGGTCATTGGCACCACAGACCGGGCATTCGGCGATAGATCTGCAATATTTCGCTGGATGGTCAAATCGCCAGCAATTTCTATTGTTGCGGTGTAGGGATCACCTTTTGAACTTGTAACCGATGTCCTGCTACATAAACTGAGGATGGGAGTTCACGGCTGTCAAAAGTTAAACGAGCCACATTGCTAGGGTATCGTCTCCGCCCGCGGGCAGGAAGATCATAAGTGTCTACCTTGAGGATTGGGAGATCTTGGAGTTCCAGCTATTCAAGAATGTCAGTGCCACATGTCTGGAAATTTTGCTGAACTATGGTAGGGCAGAATGACGGTACCAACAAAAAGAATTGAGGGAATGATGTTTTTCAATAGTGACAGGAACAGTATCGATATGGGAGACGAGAAAGCTCATGAGCCTGGGTAGCATTCTGTACGGTGATGATGCGCGTACCGCTCTTAAGAGCATGAAAAAAAAATATCATTACCAACATGGCGTAGGAGTGCCTTGCCAAAACTGTGGTCAGAAAGATAGGCAGTAGAGGGAAATCGATCGTAAAGTGAAGAATTTAGTCCATTGTGCAGTCTGAAACTGAGCATGGAAAGGTAGTGAAGGACGTGTCGATCTTTTCTGAGAAGAACGAGAAGGTGGAGAAGTATCATCAGCAGGTAATTGTCGTTGGCGTTTAGGTGTGGGACCAGAGTTGGTCCGACGTGGAACAGGCCGGCGATTCGAAAATTGCCGCACTGTAGAGGGAGAGGCCGGAAGCATAGTCAGAGGAGAGCGAAGGTCAGATAAATCGAAGGAGTCAGTCGAGGCCTCAGTACCTGAAGGGGGTGAGGAAACAGCACCGGCAAGAGGTACAGAGGTATGAGGAGTGTCCGAAGAGTGGTCCAAAGATGAGGCGGGGTCAGAACGGGGTGCGGTATCAAGAAGGGGCCCGAGAGTAGCAGGTTCATGGACTAGGGCTGCCATGGTTAGGTTACTTCTTTCTTTTTGTTTTTAAGGAAAAAAAGAAAGAAGAAAAGAAAATAAAAATAAAAAAAAGAATAAAAAAAGGGGGGCCCGGGGAGGGATAGTTCCTAGGAGGAATGAAAGGGCCAGAAATCTCCCTCTGCGCCCAAGAGGACCTCAGCACCGCAAGTAGCGCAGATGCAGCATGGAACCCGTGCCATACCCTACCCATCATGCCAGTAAACCGGCAATCCGGGATAGCAACCTCTCATCTGCCGAGCTACCTCGGTGGACAAAAGAGAGGGTGGCCGGAAATCCGCCACAAAGCATACCTCCTTTGGCCACCACCCCTGGAATCCGAAAGGTGGCTTCCAGAGATACACCCGTCGCCCGAGAGACACCCAAAGCCACCCTCCGGTATACCAGAGGGGGATCGGGACATCCCCAGGCAATCCAGATTCCACGGCAAACTCCGCCACCGCCAAGAACCTCAACGGAATGGGATGGACCCCGGTACCCTTTCCCCTACCTAGGAACTAGCATGCCTGTGGGAAAAAAAAAAAAAAATCCCAAAGGCCAAAAAGGAAATGCAAAAGGGAGGGGTGGGGAGGAGGAGGAGGAAAGGAAAAAGGGGAGGATGGGATAGGGAACAGGGGATTGGGGGGTAATTAGGTTCGGTCTGAGGAAGGAGACCGACAGGTCTAATTCCTCAGACCAAGAGCCTCTTCACCACGCCAAGGAGCCCCCCTTGAAGAGGAGATTTGTAAATAAATGCAAAGGAATTACCTAAAGCAGAAGTTCAAGGCAAATACAGTACTTGATGATGCAGCAAATATATACTACAGTACAAGTAAAACTCACCAATTGCAGTGTTTTCCAACACTTCTTAAAGACCGGATTGGCACAGAGGTTTCAATGAAAGAAAAAATATCTAAACAACACTGTAATGAATCTTATATATACATATAGACAAATTTATATATCACATTTATGAACATCTACAATAAAATGGTATACAGTATAAAAGTTACATTCCAGTAATCTCTCACTGAAGTATATTTAAGACCTTTACAAAACCATACTTTAAATTAAAGGCAAAGCAATATACAATCTTAGAATTAACACTTCATCCTAAGTCATCAGTTAGGTCTCATATACAATCTATGTGTAACTCTATGCTAATTATTTTCAATACAATAATGCTTCACCTAAATTTAATGACAAAAACAGCTACTCAAATTTTAGATTAATATATATTTGACTACCATGGTAAAAATCTGGTATATGATACCAACAAGTTGTGGTTAAAGCCACATTAGCAAACACTAGGACATTTTATTATGGATACCTCCTTTCGGTCCCAGGAAAAAAGCATGTGGATTACCATGCTGACACAGAAAAAAATATGTGTAAACACATGATCATACAAGATAGATGCAGGAAACATTTATTATCTGAATGTTGAAAAGATTGTATTTGTTGCAATCATCCAGAAATTTAGATTAAATTTCTGGGATATATCAAATACATCAAGTTACTTATCTTCCATTATTATTATAATAAAAAACAAGCACTAAACCTACAAGGGTCATATGGCACAGCAGGGCAGAGGATAGTGCAGGATTATAGAGTAGCAAGGGTGGAGTGGACTTATCTTCCATTAAAACCAACATGGCAAGGGTAAACATCTTAATAGGTATATTTTATTAATAACAAAAATGGACCTAGGTAGTGGTTGGTAGACAGCAGTCAACCAGGAAGGTACTACTGTCCTGCCAAGTGAAAGTGAAATGGAAACCTGTAAAACAACATGGAGGAATATACTACAACCAGTAGCCACAAAAAAAAAATATCCTATTACAGGCTTTAGCTTTTGACTCCTTATAATAATAAATCAGAACCAAATATCATCATATAACAATCAGCCTAGGAAATGTCATCTGCTTAACAATCAGCAGAGAAAATATATATACAGCCTCTCCTCACTTGATGACAGAGTTCCATTCCTAACACCATGTCGTTAAACCAATTCGTCACTAAGTGAGGAGCATACTATAATGGTAGTGAGTTTGTGTTAATCATCTTTGATATTGTTTTAATGTCACCTTTGCAAAATTTATAATATTTCTGGTATATTTTTAAATGTTTATACAGTAGTGTACTGTATATTGAAATAAACAGAATAGAGGAAATCAGCTCTAATACACATTATTTAGGTATGAATACTGGTCAGAGAGCCCGCTGTAAGTCCGAGGCATCGGTAAATGAGCACATCGCTAAGTGAGGAAAGGCTATACAAGGAATACACATAGTACACATTATAAAGCTGACAAGATGCATTATTAGGAAATCGTGACCCATCAGGCAAAGATAATCAGAAAAATAAATCTCATTCTTATTAAATTCAATACAGTAAGCATTAGCCCTCTTACAGTAGTATAGTACGTACATAAAAACCAGTGCCAAGTCATGACTAACCAAAATTTACTACCCTTCTCAACATTCAAAGATGTATGCATTATGCTAACCTCAGTACTAAGTTAGTACCTCATATACTTAAAATTCTCTTCATTTATTTCCTCTAGATCATTATTAATTTGGAAAGAATTTACACTTAATCACAATCGAGCTACATTTAGAATAAAACAAAGCTGCTACCATATTCTCAACACTATTTTAAAGCAGTACAATATAGTATAAAAATAAATAAGTACAATACAGGTCATTTATAAATAGGATGTTTTTTCTCATTGATATACTAATATTGATAAAAAAATCTATGCAAAATACTCTATTTTACTTATGATCCTGTTAACAGAGGCAACTGTGTAGTCATCTTGTATAATAAGGATGAGTGACAAACTATGATGTGTAATAATGAATACAGTATTAAATTCTGCACAGTAATTAACATTTTTAATGTTTCTATTTGTTCAATGTTCAAGAGACCATCAACCCTATAGCCAAATCTCTCACAAGGACTCCTAAACTGAAATGGAAAACAGAATTACAGAATAAGTACAGTACTATTTTATTAGGAAACACACAGGAAAGGTAAGCAAATACTGAATGCAAGCAGTTATCCATGACTGATATTGAGAGATTTTCTACCCCTCACATCTCAGCCTGGGGCCAGGATTCTCTGTTGATTGACTGTTCAGCCAGACTATTGCTGTTGGCAGCCCACAGGCTCACATAACCATCACAGCTTGGTTGATCTGGCAGTGCATTAGTAATGATCCAGTTTACTCTTTAAGACTACTACATTTGTTCTGGCAATCTTTCTGAAATCTGGTGGTAGTAAGTTGGAGAGCATTAGGTCACAGATGTTGATACAGTGTATTTATATTGTACATATGGAACCCCTGCTTTTCACTGGGTGTATTTTACACCTCCTCCCATCTCTCAATCCAATAAGCTTTCACAGTATGTAGATCTGGGACCAGGCCCTCATGTTTAGTTGCCATCATACATGATCAAGACACAGAAAGATATATACAGTGGACCCCCGGTATTCGATATTAATCCGTTCCTGAGAGCTCATCGAATACCGAAAATATCGAAAAGCGAATCAATTTTCCCCATGAGAAAAAATGGAAACCAAATTAATCCGTGCAAGACACCCAAAAGTATGAAAAAAAAAAAATTTTACCACATGAAATATTAATTTTAATACACACAAGCTGAAGAAGACATGCACAGTTACATGACAATTACCTTTATTGAAGATCTGGTGATGATTGATGGGATGGGAGGAGGAAAGAGTGTGGATGGTGTTAGTGTCTAGAAGGGGAATCCCCTTCCATTAGGACTTGAGGTAGCAAGTCCTTTTCCGGGTTACTTCCCTTCTTCTTTTAATGCCACTAGGACCAGCTTGAGAGTCACTGGACCTCTGTCGCACAACAAATCTGTCCATAGAGCCCTGTACCTCCCGTTCCTTTACGATTTGTCTAAAATGGGCCACAACATTGTCATTGTAATAGTCACCAGCACGGCTTGCAATAGCTGTGTTAGGGTGATTTTCATCCATAAAGGTTTGTAGTTCAACCCACTGTGCACACATTTCCTTAATTTTTGAAGTAGGCACAATGGATTCCACAACTGGCATAGGCTTCTCAGGGTTAGCCCCAAACCCTTCAAAATCTTTCTTAATTTTCATACTAATTCTCACCTTTTTTACCACAGGGTTGGCACTAGAAGCTTTCTTGGGGCCCATGGTGACTTATTTTGCAGAAACAAGCACCAAAAACAGTGATAATATGGAATGTACCAAATGTATCCTTAGATGCGCGCACACTGGCTGGCTTGTAAACACTGGCACACACACACGGCTGTTCAGGCCACACATGGACACGTCTCGTATGAATCATATCGAATACCAGGTTTTCAATCGGATACCAAGGCAAAATTTTTGCGTTAAAATGCATCGAATGTCGGATTTATCGAATAGCGATGCTATCGAATACCAGGGGTCCACTGTATAGACCAACAATCCTGTGAAAAGTAAAACATTTAGTTGGCTTACAGTTCACATTCATGATAAGGCTTTATTGTAGACTGTTTAACTCAGAACTAGCTTCATTAAGCGCATTAACTATAAGCTCCCTAAGTGAGTTATTATTATTATAATCAAAAAGAAGCTCTAAGCCACAAGGGCTATACAGCGCTGCACGGTAGGGAAGGAAGCGAGGGTATTGGGCGGCAGAAAGGAGGAGGGATGATCAGTAGGTTACAGAAAACAGCGGGGCAGGGGATAGTACGGGGGTAGAGGGTAGCAAGAGATTGAGGTAGAAAGGGCTGAAGGTATCAGAATTTGTGAAGTAAGTCAGTTGTTGTCAAAAAGTCAATGAGAGAGTCCGGATGAAAGGTGGGTCCATCAGCGAGAAGGGAAGGTAAAGAGAGAGGAGCGGAGCAAAGATGACGACGGAGGTAAATTCTGAGTGCTCGTTGATAAAGTGGGCAGTCCAACAGAATGTGGCTGACTGATAATAGAGCCTGGCAATTCTCACAGAGAAGAGCAGGGCGCCTCTCCATGAGATATCCATGAGTAAAACGAGTATGGCTAATGTGAAGATGGGAGAGAGTAGTCTCCCAACCTCAACACTGGTGATAAGAAGACGGCCAGTAACCTATACTCGGTTTAATAGATTGAAGTTTGTTAGCGAGCATAGTAGACCAACGTTGTTGTCAACGGGTGTGAAGGTGGGAAGATATTGTAGCAAAATAGTCCGTAAATGGAATACCTCTATATGAAACTGGTAGGTCATGTACTGCTGACCGCGCAGCAGTGTCTGCCTGTTCATTGCCCTGTATGTCAACATGACCAGGGACCCAACAAAAAACAATATCTTTATGCTTGGTAAAGATGCTGCGTAGCCAAAGTTGGATACGGAGGACTAAGGGGTAAGGTGTATCAAATTTTTGTATAGCCTGTAAAGCACTAAGGGTGTCTGAGACAACCACAAATGATGACACAGGCATAGATGCAATACGGATAAGTGCTGCAAGGATGGCATACAATTCAGCAGTAAAAATACTAGCCGAAGATAGTAAATGCCCTCATACGATGCTGTCCGGAAACACTGCTGCGAATCCTACGCCGTCAGAAGACTTAGAGCCATCTGTGTACACAGCAATGGCATGAGAATGAGAGTGGAAGTGGTCAAGAAAAAGAGAGCGGGAAGCGACCGTAGACAGTTGGGCTTTCGAGCAAGGGAGAGAGAAAGAACTGACTCGAACAGCTGGAATTTCCCAGGGGGGTAGGGAAAAGTGAGATACTACATGAACATAGAAAGGTGGTAATTGAAGAGAAGACAAGAGCGAATGAAGGCGAAGAGAGAAGGGATGGAGTAAACAGGGGCGGCGAACAAATAATGTCTACTAATATCAGTGACCATTCTATAAATGGAAGGATTGCGTAGATGATGAGAGCGTACATAGTAGCAAAGGCAATGGGCATCATGGCGATCGGATAAGGATGGAACGTTCACTTCTGCATAGAGGCTCTCAACAGGGGAAGAGTGAAAAGCACCAATGCATAAACGTAATCCTTGGTGATGAATGGGGTTAAGGCTAGAGAGAGTAGCAGGAGATGCCGCTGAATAGATCTGGTCACCATAATCAAGTTTCGATAAAATGAGGGTGGAATGTAGGTGAAGGAGGGTTCGACGATCAGCTCCCCATGAAAGATGAGCAAGGGTTTTAAGAAGGTTCAGCCGGCTGTGACAAGTTGCCTTCAGAGAGGTAATGTGAGGTTTTCAGGAAAACCTACGGTCAAAGATGAGGCCCAGAAACTTGACTGTATCACGTTCAGGGATACGGGAGCCATAGAGGTACAAAGGATGATCGGAGATGACAGAGCGTCAAGTGAAAGTAATTTGGTGGGTTTTAGTGCTGGAAACCCATGTGCGGTGGCCCAATTCGAAACACGGTCGACTGCATGTTGGAGAGAAACTGTAATGAGGTGGCAGTCAGCACCTGCACAGGCAATAGCGAAGTCATCAACATAGAGTGATGACCAAATATTTGATGGAAGACTAGAGGCCAAATCATTTATAGCAAGGAGAAAAAGTGTTGTGCTCAGAACACATCCCTGGGGAACACCTTCAGCTTGGATAAAGTCCGGGGAGAGCACATTATTAACCTGAACACGGAAATGTCTGTCGGTTAAAAAGTTCTTAAGGAAGGATGGTAGATTGCCTCGAAGGCCTAAGGAGTGGGCTTGGGCCAAAATATTATACCTCCAAGTTGTGTCATATGCCTTCTCAAGGTCAAAAAATATGGCAATAACTGAGTGGTTATTCACAAAGGCATTACGAACATACGTATCCAAGCGTAGTAAGGGGTCTATGGTAGAACGGATCTTATGAAAGCCATATTGACGAGTGGAGAGACTGCTGTGTGTCTCAAAATACCACACTAAACGTCTATTTACTAGGCGTTTCATCACTTTGCAAACTACACTGGTAAGAGCAATGGGACGATAGTGGGAGGCGTCATGTCCCGTAGTACCAGGTTTGCGGAAAGGGAGAACAATGGCAGATGTCCACAGCTGTGGAAGAACTCCCTGAGACCAAATAAGATTGAAAAGGCGTAATAAGACTGCAAGGGCTGACTGATGTAAATGTTGTAGCATACGAATATGAATATTGTCGAGCCCAGCTGCCGATGATCGGCAAGCTGAGAGTATTGCCTCCAGTTCCTGAAGTGCAAAAGGCACATTATACTGTTCTTCTCTGAGAGAAGAAAAGTCCAAGGGTGCTAACTCTCTGGCAGACTTTGAGGAAAGAAACGAGGGGCACAGATGGAGCCCCTGAGAAATACGGACCAGATGATTGCCAATTTCATTGGCAACATCTAGTGGGTTTGCTATATCAACATCGGCAACCTGCAGAACAGGAGCCGGGTCAGGAGAATATTTGCCAGTCAGTTTTCGTACTTTTTCCAGACTGCACTCATAGAGGAAGCAGAGGTGATGGTGGAGACATAATCTTGCCAGCAAGTGCGTTTAGCGTCACGGATGGCACGGCGAGCAATCGCACGCTTCTGCTTAAAATCAAGAAGTCTCTCCGTGGTTCTATTGTACTGGTACCTGCCCCACGCAGCGCGTTTCAAACGTACTGCATGAGCACAAGCAGGAGACCAAGAAGGCACGCATTTCTGAGAATGCCTGCCCAAAGTTTGGGGTATAGAATGAGAAGCTGCAGTTAAAACGGAGGATGAGAAGAGGTGTAAAAGCTCATCAATGGAGGACGAAGAAGGAACCTCACTAAAAACAGTTAGTTGTGAGTAAAGGTTCCAATTTGCCTGATCAAATTGCCAGCGTGGGTTATGAAGAGGTGGTGAATATGAAGGGGAAGTAAGAATGATTGGGAAATGATTGCTGTCATGTAAATCCGGGAGAACAGACCAGGTGAAGTCTAATGCGGCGGAGGAAGAGCAGACTGAGAGATCGATACAAGAGAGAGTATGAGTCTGAGGATCAAAATGGGTGTACCTGTATTTAAAACAGGGAGGGGGTGGGTAGCAAGAAAAGCCTCTAACTGAATGCCACGGGAATCACAGTGAGACCCCCCCCCCCAGAGGAAATGATGGGCATTAAAATCGCCAAGTAAAAGAAGTGGTGGCGGTAATGACGGAACAAGAAAGGCAATATCTGGGATAGATAATGCCCGAGAAGGAGAGAGATACAAAGAACAGAGTGTATACCACCTCTGAAAGTGGATACGGGCTGCTGTGTAATGCAGCGAAGTACGAACAAATAGCTGATGGTACGGAATATCAGTGCGTAGAAGAAGGGCACTTTCATTAAAGGTCCCATCAGGAAAAGGATCTGAAGAATACAATAAATTATAGCCTGAGATAGGATAGATAACGGCAGAGTGTAATTTTGGTTCCTGTAAGCAAACACCAACAGGGGAAAACTGGGAGAGCAACATCTGAAGCTCACCCCAATTACCCCTGAGGCCGCGAATATTCCACTGTAAATAGGCCATGATTGGCAACAATAAAGATACCTGAAATCCACAGGTAAGGGTACCTATGGACTAGAGGGGTTAGAAAAGTCCACATGCGGTGGCAAAGGAAAAGGTTCAAGTAGCGAAGGAACGGTGCGTTGTGAAGGAGTTGTGCAGATGGAGAAGAGGAAAGAGAAGGAACAGAGGGTGGATCAGTGTCCATTGATGGTTTGGTCTCTGCAATATATTCAGAGATTGCTTCAAGTGTTTCGGAGTTCAGAGACGTCGTATGGGAGACAATATTGGAGATGGAAGGAGGAGGAGTTTGAGTAAAGATCGGAGCTGTAATGGACTGTACCAAGGTAGGGGGTGGGGGCGAAAGGGTGGAGGGAACTGGAGAAGTGTGGGAGGGGACAGAAGAGGCAGAAACCTGGGAGGTGGTAGAAGAGGAAGAAACTTGGGAGGGTACAGGGGAGGAAGGCACATTTTGAGGAGAAGGATGAACCTCCACACTTGTAACAGAGCCAGTGAAAGGGGAAGACTCAGGTACAGAGACCGGGAAGGTAAAATGTGGAGGTGGATGAAGGGAAGGAGGGGTTAAAGGAGATTTTTTGGGCCTCTGAGAAGTAGAGGGACGATTGGGAGGAGGTGTCGTACGAGGTCTTGTCAATACCGGGGTTTGTGAGGGAGGACACGAAGAAGTAAGGACAGACTGAGTAGTTGAAGTAGGGACGTCTGAGCCCAGGACAGCAAAAGAATTAGATACAGGAGTGACTATGGGACTGGCAACCGCAGAGGAGGCTGCAGAAGATGTGACCCCAGAAGTGGGGGGACGCTTTGAAACACGAGAATAAGAAACACTGGGCAGTCTCCCTTGGAGGCGGAGATGAGAAACTGCCATAGCATAAGGGAGACCTTCTGCCTCTTTGAGGCAACGAATTTACCGCTCATTTAAGTTGACTTGGCAACGGCGAGAGTACGAAGGGTGAGCCTCATGACAGTTAAGGCAAGAGGGAGTTCGACTGCAAGACGTATTAGAATGATCATCAGCACCACAGACTGGGCATTCGGCTATAGATCTGCAATATTTTGCTGGGTGGCCAAGTCGCCAGCAATTCCTACAGTGTTACAGTGTAGGGATCACCTTCCGAACTTGTAACCGATGTCCTGCTACATAAACAGAGGATGGGAGTTCACGGCTGTCAAAAGTTAAACGAGCCACATTGCAAGGGTATCATCTTTGCCCGTGGGCAGGAAGAACATAAGTGTCTACCTTGAGAATTGGGAGATCTTGGAGTTCCAGCTGTTTGAGAATGTCAGTGCCACATGTCTGGAAATTCTGTTGGACTATGGTATGGGGCAGAATAACAGTACCACTACAAGAATTGAGGGAATGATGTTTTTCGACAGTGATAGGAATAGTATCGATATGTGAAAGAAGAGAAAGATCATGAGCTTGGGAAGAATTCTGGACTGTGATGATGCGAGTACCACTCTTAAGAGCATGAAAGGAAATATCTCTACCAACGTGGCATAGGAGCGCTTTGCCAATACTATGGTTGGAAAGATAGACAGTAGAAGTCGGTCTTAATGTAAAGAATTTAGTCCATTGTGTGGTCTGAAACAGAGTGTGGAGAGGGAGTGCATGACGTGTCGGTCTTTTCTGAGTAGAAAGGGAAGGTAACGAAGTAACATCATTAGGAGATTGTCGTTGACATTTAGAAGTGGGACTAGAGTTGGTCCGACGTGGGACAGGCCGGCGATTCGAAAATCGCCACACCGTAGAGGGAGAAGCCGGAAGCATAGTCAAAGGAGAGCGGAGGTCAGACAAATCGAAGGAGTCAGTGGAAGCCCTGGTACCTGAAGCAGGTGAGGAAACAGCACCAGCAAGAGGTACAGGGGCCTTAGGAATGTCTGAAGAGTGGCCAAAAGACGAGGCGAGGTCAGAACGGGGTGCGGTAACAATAAGGGGCCCGGGGGTAGCGGGGTCATGGATCGGGTACTCCATGGTTAGGTTACTTCTTTCTTTTTGTTTTTAAGAAAAAAAAAGAAAGAAAAGAAAATAAAAATAAAAAAAATAAAAAAAGGGGGGGACCAGGGAGGGATAGTTCCTAGGAGGAATGAAAGGGCCAGAAATCTCCCTCCGCGCCCAAGAGGACCTCAGCACCGCAAGTAGCGCAGATGTAGCATGGAACCCGTGCCATACCCTACCCATCATGCCAGTAAACCAGGAATCTGGGATAGCAACCTCACATCTGCCGAGCTACCTCGGTGGACAAAAGAGAGGGCGGCCGGATATCCGCCACAAAGCATACCTCCTTCAGCCACCACCCCCGGAATCCGAAAGGTGGCTTCCAGAGATACACCCGTCGCCCGAAAGACACCCAAAGCCACCCTCCGGGATACCAGAGAGGGATCGGGACATCCCCAGGCAATCCAGATTCCATGGCAAACTACGCCACCGCCAAGCACCTCAACGGAATGGGATGGATCCCGGTACCCTTTCCCCTACCTAGGAACTAGCGCGCGCCTGTGGGAAAAAAATCCCAAAGGCCAAAAAGGAAGGGCAAAAGGGAGGGGTGGGGAGGAGGAGGAGGAAAGGAAAAAGGGGAGGATGGGAGAGGGAAGGGGGCATTGGGGGGTAATTAGGTTTGGTCTGAGGAAGGAGACCGACAGGTCTAATTCCTCAGACCAAGAGTCTCTTCACCACGCCAAGGAGCCCCCCTTGAAGAGGACAAGTATCATAGAATTAGTGGTATGATGATTGTTGGAAACAGCAACACCATGGGATTTTGGTGCAGAGGATATCTTTAACCTGTTTGCTAACCTCTGGCCCAACTTTTGGGCATGACTTAATATCATTAGCAGGTACCACCCACTGGTGATGATGCCATCTATGGCTGCACCTCATCTGACTCTTACGTAAGTGTCCATCCTCCTGCCCACGAGTCAGATTCATCGTGACTAAAGTGGTGAACACCATTTTCTAGGCTGAGGGACTAATTACCTTATCTTCTACTATTTCTAGTTTCAACATCTGCAAATAATCTCAGTACTGAATTGATAAATGTCACTGGCTGGCATAACAGCTTAAGAATAAAGATATCTAGGTGTTAGTCATCAACTTGTCAGTATTGCATACCATTAATGTTACAAGTAAACCCTTTATTTAATGGACTAACAGAGGAAGTGGTGGAAGATAATGGAGATTGTGGTGGACAGAAACAAGGTTGTCCTACTGTGATCATAACAAAAATGGTCAATTTTGCATCCAACGAACTCTGTCTGGAGTTTCCAAATTAAGCAACCAAGTAGATTCTGTTCCCAATTTCCATAGCCCATGTAATCAAAGTTTACTGTACACAACTCCCTTAGAATTCAATGATCTAAATTATTTACTGTATTTTCTTACGAGTCCTGCAAATATCCTATCAACTACACCAAGAGTCAAAATGTATACTGGTACACATGCAGGAAAAGCAATTTGATTTTACATTAGGTACAAATATGCCTCACCTATTTCTATATAAAAGACAGTTTGGCCAACCCCAAGTACAGGGGACGCAATCTGTAATATAAATTTCCTTTAAAAAAGTCATTGTAATGTTACATACACACATACATGCATACCAGAATTTACAATGTATCACTGTAATGTTATAAACTCATACATACACACTAGAATATATAGGTAGCAGGTTATAATAATAACCACACCGATGAGTCTGGACAAGGTTAACAAGCTAACACATTCTTGAGTCTGGATTCATTATCACAGATTGAGTGAAAGGAGGGTACATCATTTGGCTGAACAATAATCAACAAGTGGCTCTTTACAAAATATCAGTGGAGATTGTAGCATATATGGTACATTACTAGAAGAGACTAATTTCAACCACTTTAATAAATACAATAAACCATCACTATAACAAACTAATAATGAGAATTGCTCAAATGTCTGTTAAATCATTATATTAGAAAGCAGCAAAGGAAAAAAAAACAATTAAGTACTCTACTGTATACCAAACAGTCCTGTACACATATATTGAAATAAATATTGAAAATAGAGGAGCTAAAAGTACAATTTTCCCAGGGTTTTTTTCCTATTACTTTTAAGTCTGTTATACTGAGGTCAGTCTATAAAAGGTTTACTGTACTGTAGCTACAAACACACTGCTTTTTCAAGAGAATGAAAGTTAAGACCCTCTGATTGATAGGTCAGTATAATTCCTCCATCAAAAAAGTATATGTACTATTGCAAACTGACTATTCACACTGTCTAATCATACAACTGCCAGCAGTGACACTCCCCCCTCCCTATTTCAATACTGCTGTACAAATAACCGACAAGAGTCCCTGTCAATATTTATACAAATTCTCATTTCATAAATAAATATGACCTAAACTCACTATTCACACTATCAGTTTGCTTAATTCGCAGACTTTAATGAATTTACATGACAAAATCTGCCATTGTCTCCTAATCAAATTTTCTAAAGCCATGTTTGAGATGTAATGATACAAACATGTGCAACAACTGGGATTATCAGTACAGCATATTAAAAAAATTCAATCCATATAGGTCATTCAGCACTGCAGCAGTTGAGTGTATTTAAAAAATTTTAAATGCTATTACCTATCTGCAGAGCTGCTATGAATACCCCTCCACCTATGTAATCACCTCTAGAAAATTTTCAAAAATTTCTTAATCTATTATCTCTATCCAATTTTCTTTGAATAATTAATTTCACAACCATTATTTTGATACATTTACTATACTATGTATTTAGCATCATCTACCATACTGCATTTATTATACAGATGTATGCTAACACTAGATTAAATGACAATCGTAATTTAAAGAGAATACTGTATACCGTATTCATTCATTCACGTTATTAAATCTCTTACCTATTAAAATCATAATTTTTACTGAAATATTTGGAGAATGCAAAAATTATATGGCCAGCATTAAAAGTCATTATAATCCAAAGCATATTTTTGTGCTTTAACCTGTTATATAATTTTCAGTTTTGTATTATACATATCTATATCAAGATAAACTGTTTCTCAGTATTTTATGGTTTCCTTTTATGTTTTCTCAATACTATCACTTGATTCAGCACCCCCGTCATCTCACTTTCTTGCTCGTCTATTCATAGCAGCAGCACACTGGGGGCAGTACCATTTTCCTTTTGGTGGTGCAGTAATACCAACACACGGATAATGAAACCATTCCACTGGGCACTTAGGGTTATCACAAGCAACCATATCGCCGTAAGAAACTTGATTACAGATACAATAACGTGGTTCATTAGGGTCATACGTCCAATCAGGATTTTCAGAATTTGGGTCAATAAGTGCTTCCTGCAAGAGATCCTCTGAAGGGGCAGGTGAAGCTTCCATGACTGCAGCAGCAGCTAGACTGCTAACTGAGCTATGCTTCTTCTTCTGTTTCTTGTTACTTGAACCTGTACTTGTGCTACTACTATTTGTGGTGCTGCAGGTCTCTTGGGGCAAAGCTGATGCTGCGAGAGCAGTCTGTGCTGCATTTGCTAATTCACTGCCTATTGAGAATTCAGTTGGCTGAACTCCTGAGGTAATTGCATCATATGAGGCCTTTAAACTTGCTGTACGGCGACCCTGCTGCATTTGCTGAGTTGCTGCAATTGCCTGAGATGCTGCAGCTGCAATAGCATTACTGCCTGCCCCCATGTGCCCTAGTGTATAGGAGATAGTTGACGCTGGTGGTGGAGATACAGACATGCTTGATGTCAAATTAGGTTCCACTCTTTCTTCCTTTTTAACAGACACTGCCGCCGCAGTAGATGACTGCCGGCGTTCCGTACGAGAGCTCGAGTTCATGGCTACATAGCGGTTTTCTTTCTGGTTGTCTCTAATGGGCTCATCTAATTCTAAAGACCTTTTCTCCAAAACCTCTGTAATTCCTGGACTATCTGCCTCGAGTTCGCACTTGAATTTTTCCAGTTCTTGATCTAATTTCCTCATATATCGTTCCAGCAGGTCGTGCATGTTCGTGGCAATGTTCACCTTTTCGTCAGCATCATCTAACAGTTTGTAGTACTCCTTCCTTATCTTCTCATACTCAGCATCTCTGTCCTGGGGCTTCATTTTTCTCGCATTCCCAAAGAAGGTTTTGATCTGCTCCTCTAACTGGTCAGAGGTGTTTTGGATCCCCAAGTCCAATTCACGCAAGTCTGTAGTCCGATCACGAATTTCTTGCGGTATTTGTTCTATAACCTCCAGAAAGTCCTCAAGATACAGCATTATCACTTCTTATATGCAACGTTGTGCTGCAAAAAGAATGGTTAACAGTTTATGCTGGAGCACTCAAACAAACCAGTTGATGTAAACAAACAAGCCAGCTGATGTAAACACAGAGTGAAATTATTGTTTTCCTCTGTGATTGGTCAGTTCTGTATTTAGAGGAAAATGCTGCTCACTGATTGGCTGGCATCAAAGACAGTGCTATTAATTTATAATAAAATTAATGTTGTGTCAAGGGTGTATGTGAATAATTATATTAATAAAATATTTCTAAGTCAATCAAAATTGATATGCGTATATAGCAGACATTTTCTCAATAAATAAATAAAAAAAAAAAAATAAATAAATAAATAAATAAATAAACAAACAAAAAAACAATTGAACAAACAAACAAACAAATATATATATATATATATATTAATATATATATATATATATATATATATTATATATATATATATATATATATATATATATATATATATATATATATATATATATATATATATATATATATATATATATATATATATATATATATATATATATATATATATATATATATATATATATATATATATATATATATATATATATATATATATATATATATATAAAATTTCTAAAAATTCGAGTTACATTTTTTAACGTAGTTTTTATGATTGCTTTTAATGTTACTGGCAACTGATTGTTACGCGTTATTTACTGGTTTATATTCTCTGCATTTATGTATTGTTTCTGTTATTTATGGTTGTTGTTATTTACTGTTATTGTAAACTGTTGGTCGTCTCGTGAACTTTAGTTTATCTTTCTGTTCTTGTGGATCGTTGTTCTTGTGGATCGTTGTTCTTGTGGATCGTTGTTCTTGTGGATCGTTGTTCTTGTGGATCGTTGTTCTTGTGGATCGTTGTTCTTGTGGATCGTTGTTCTTGTGGATCGTTGTTCTTGTGGATCGTTGTTCTTGTGGATCGTTGTTCTTGTGGATCGTTGTTTTGTGGATCGTTGTTTTTGTGGATCGTTGTTTTGTGGGATCGTTGTTCTTGTGGATCGTTGTTTTGTGGATCGTTGTTCTTGTGGATCGTTGTTCTTGTGGATCATTGTTCTCCCTGTGGATCGCTGTTTCTCCCTGTGGATCGCTGTTTCTCCCTGTGGATCGCTGTTTCTCCCTGTGGTTCGCTGTTTCTCCCTGTGGATCGCTGTTTCTCCCTGTGGATCGCTGTTTCTCCCTGTGGATTGGTATTTTTTGTAAATTGTTATTGTTACTTTTGTGGCTGTCAGTCCGTGACACCTTTTTTCGATGGCTGTCAGTCCGTTGCCTTTTTTTCGGATGTCAGTCCGTCACACCAATTTCCAGGTGGCTGTCAGTCCGTCACACTTCACATCAAGTGTGTCGACTGAATTTTGTATTTAGCTGAATTCGACTGAAGTCTGTTGTGCAATAAAGATTTCTGAGTGTTTCAGCTGTGACTTATTTATCAATTTGTTGGAATTGTAATTCAGTCATAAGATGCATTGTACTAAGGTACCATACCCCGTACAGCCACTGTACCCAGGCACCATACACCGTACAACTATTGTAGCATCACCATACCTTGTACAACCAATTCAAATTCAAATTCAAAGTTTATTCTCTATAAGGATTACAATGCTGAGTTTACAGAAATTTGGTTATTGTGTGGTTTACATCTGCTAGAAAAATGACAGGATGGATAATGAGAACCTTCAAAACTAGGGAGGCCAAGCCCATGATGACACTCTTCAGGTCACTTGTTCTATCTAGGCTGGAATATTGCTGCACTCTAACAGCACCTTTCAAGGCAGGTGAAATTGCCGACCTAGAAAATGTACAGAGAACTTTCACGGCGCGCATAACGGAGATAAAACACCTCAATTACTGGGAGCGCTTGAGGTTCCTAAACCTGTATTCCCTGGAACGCAGGTGGGAGAGATACATGATTATATACACCTGGAAAATCCTAGAGGGACTAGTACCGAACTTGCACACGAAAATCACTCACTACGAAAGCAAAAGACTTGGCAGACGATGCACCATCCCCCCAATGAAAAGCAGGGGTGTCACTAGCACGTTAAGAGACCATACAATAAGTGTCAGGGGCCCGAGACTGTTCAACTGCCTCCCAGCACACATAAGGGGGATTACCAACAGACCCCTGGCAGTCTTCAAGCTGGCACTGGACAAGCACCTAAAGTCAGTTCCTGATCAGCCGGGCTGTGGCTCGTACGTTGGTTTGCGTGCAGCCAGCAGCAACAGCCTGGTTGATCAGGCGCTGATCCACCAGGAGGCCTGGTCACAGACCGGGCCGCGGGGGCGTTGACCCCCGAAACTCTCTCCAGGTAAACTCCAGGTAGTAAAATAGTGATTACAGAGTGTACCACTAGAACGCTTAGCATGGCTAGGCATTTCGGGCAGACTTAGTTTTATTCTTAATTGTAAAATATTACAAATTATGAGGTAAGTTGGTATTATGGCTAAGTGACTAAATACTAGTTTGTGAGTTTAGCAATGTAAATGCTTTTGTTTTGGTACAGTACATAGTTTCAGTATTGGAGTATCACAGGATTCATTATTTTAAGATTGAGATTAATATTTCTGTTTATGGTCAAATGAGTCAGTGAGTGTAAGTGTGAACCACCAGGTGGTATTCGTGTAGTTAGTTGACAGGGTGTATCAGGGAGATAAGATGTTTTCTAATGGTAGTTTTGAAGGTGATGAATGTGTCTGCAGTTCTAGAGTTCTCAGGTAGGGTATTCCAGATTTTAGGGCCTTTGACATACATTGAATTTTTGTAAAGGTTTAGTCGGACACGGCGAATGTCGTAGAGATGTTTGTGTCTGGTGTTATGCCTGTGGGTTCTGTCACAACTATCAAGAAAGCATTTTAGGTCAAGGCTGATATTAGAGTTTAAGGCCCTGTAGATGTAGATTGCACAGTAGTAAGTGTGGAGTACGAACAGGGAGGTAAGTTTAGGTCTATGAAGAGTGGGGGGGTGTGTTGCCAGGGATGGAATTTAGTGATTATTCTTACTGCAGCTTTTTGTTGGGTTATTTTTGGGCTTTAGGTTTTGTTTGCTGCAGTTGATCCCCAAGCACAAATAAGATAGGTGAGGTTAGGGATAAATAAGTGAGTGGTATAGTGTTAGAAGGGCATTTTGGGGCACGTAGTATCGTATCTTGGAGAGGATCCCAACCGTTTGGATACTTTTTGGTTTTTATGCTGGATATGGGGTGTGAAATTCCAGGTTGTTGTCAAGGTATAAGCCTAGGAATTTGCCCCCATTATTTTGGTAATTAGAGTGTTGTCAATCTTAATTTTAAATTTTGTGCATCTCCTGCTCTGCTACCAAACATAATATAGTAGGTTTTGTCAGTGTTAAGCGTAAGTTTACTGGCTGTCATCCAGTCGACATTTTGATCAGCTCCTCATTCACAGTGGTTTTTGAGGGTGGCAAGTTTTAGGGTGAGAGATGACATAAGTCGTGTCGTCAGCAAAGAGAATGGGTTTCAGGTGTTGGGATACGTTTGGAAGGTCATTGATGTATATGAGGAAGAGGGGGGACCAAAGGAAAATTTCCCCTGCGGAACTCCAGTATCAAGTGGCGGTGTTGCTGATGCTGTGTCTTTAATGGTGACATATGATACCTATTAGTAATGTAAGATTTGAATAAGCAAGCGCATGGCCTCTTAACCGTAATGATCAAGTTTGTGGAGTAGGAGTCGTGGTCTACTGTGTCAAAAGCTTTTCTTAGGTCAATAAAATTCCTAGTGGAATTCCTTATTTTCCAATGCTTGTGTAAAGCAGATCTAGCATTTTTATGATTGCATCATAGTGCTTTTTTTTTCCTGAATCCAAATTGGCAGGGGTTGAGTATGTTTTGAGCCGTTATAAATGAATACAGTCTCCTGTGCACGAGTTTCTCAAAGATTTTGGATAGCAATGGTAAGTTAGTTTTGGGCCCTATAGTTGTTTAAGTCTGTAGGGTCACCACCTTTATGTATTGGTGTAACCCTTGCCATCTTGAGTAGTTTGGGGAAGGTGCTAGTCTCTAGTGACTTGTTAAAGAGTAATGAAATAGCATGCGAAAGGACATGGGGCCGCTCGCTTGTACAGTAATGGTGGGACATGAGACAGATTCCCCGAGTTATTTTTAAGTGACTTTATAATCCGGTGACTTCCGTGGGCCAGTTTGGTGCAAGATAGAAGGAATAAGGGAAATTCCCATCTAGGTAGCCCCCGGCATGGGCATTGGATGTGGGATTTTACTGGCGAGTTTTAGTTTCCTATGGTGAGAAGAAGTCTTTTTATCTTGTTAGCTGTGTCATTTGGGATGTAGTGGTGTTTCATTAGGTTTAGTTAGGACAATATTCTTGGTTTTTCTCAGTTTGTGGGTCCCTAGAATCTGAGAGAGTTTTTTCCAGTCTTTTTTTATATCTCCTCTAGTGTCTGTGAATCTACTGGAGTAGTATAGTTGTTTGGCTTTTTTTTATTACTTTGGTGAGAGTGATGAATAGTGTTTAAGAATATCTTGGTATTAAGCCTTGTCTATATTGCTTTTCATATTGGTGTTTCTTGTCAAGGGATTTCAGAATGGTGCTGGTTAGCCATGGGCAACAAAGCCGTTGTTTGTGATTTTGTTTTGTTTTTTAGGACAATGTTTGTTGTATAGTCTAAGTAATTTGTTAAGAAAACTGTCTGTCCAGTCTCAATACCATTGGCCTTGGGGGAATTCTGAGGCCAGTCAACAGTCTCTAGGTCAGCTTTTAACTTCCTTACGAGGCCTCGTCATGGAGTCAAAATTGAGACTTTGTTGTATTCAATGGTGGTTTACTAATGTTTGTCAGGAGGAAGGTAGGGTAGTGGTCTGTAGTGCTATCTGTGATTATCCCTGATTTAAGGGGGGCTAGTATATTGGTCCATATGTGGTCTATTATGGTTGCACTTGTCTCAGTGAGCCTGGTTGGTTTAGTTTTTTGTTGGTATGAGAAGTGTGTTGTTCATATTGTTGATGAAATCAGTTACAGGCTGATCATCTAGTAAGCCAAGGTTGATGTTTGAAGTCTCCAGCTAAGAGAAGGTGGTGCTTATTCTTTGTCTGT